AAGGTTCGAAACTATCATTACTATAAATAGAAATTCTTGTCTGCATGTTATGAAATTTTGGTAAAAATTCATTAGAGCATTAAAAAGTTTTGCTTGTGGCGAATTTTTACTTCCTATATAAAAATTCGTAATACCATGTAGATCATATAAAAAATGATCTACGTACACCCTACCCTTAAATGATATTGTTAAATCTAATATTGCTTTTAAAGTTAAAATCTATATTGTCTCTAAAGCCAAAACAAAGTCATTTTTAAAGCTAAAGTATTATCTTTAAAACTAGTATTACTTCAAAAGCCAGTATTATTTTAAAAACTAGTGTTGTTTCTAAAATTAGTATTGTCTTTAAAGCCAGTATTATCTCCAAAGCCAATATCACCTTCAAAACCAATATCACTCTCATAGCCAATATTGTTACTGAATTCAATAATATTAAATTAAATAGTGGATTTGTTCTTGTAAATTTATATCAGAACAAATCATAAATCTTATTGGCAAATTATTTTAATGATCCTGATTTGTCTTCTGAAAATAATTTTTCAACTAATATGCTATCTGAATATGATCAAAATATTCTAGAAAATGATATGTGAAAGCAAGCCAATCAAGTAGCTAAAGATGATTAAAAAGAACTAAAAAATAAAAAATTTACTAAAAAATTCCTTAATAGAAATACATTTTATAACTGTATCTTTAATTTTTAATTGTTGAATAAATAATGTAAAAAGTAATATATTGTATATTTTAAATATTATTTATAATATATAAATAATAATATTTATTGAGCAGAGGTGTGATAACATAGTAAAGTGATTAAGTTGTTATCTTCAAGTGGCAGGTCAAGAGTTTGAATCTCACCAGTAATGAAATTTAAAAATTTTGCTTGTATTATGACTAACTATATTTGATTGATTAGTTGGGATAAGATACCTGTAATTATGATTATTCTAGCAAGACTGGGAGGTTTGGGGCATTTATATAATATAATATTATACAAAAGAATGCAAACTGATAATAGGGTGATGCAAATACAAAATAAGCTCTCAGGCTATATAAATCTGAAGAATTGCGAATATGGAAGCCTACTTGGCAAGTTCTAAGTAAAGAGATAGCACAGATCTTTGACAGAGCTACTATAAAGATTAAATTCAGAAAATAGATCCCATGTGATAAAATATAGGGTATTAGAGTTGTATTCACATCAACCAGGCTACTACAAATAGAAAAGAAGACCAGGAATCTAGCTAGAGAACCTCTGCAATTGTAGACAAGTCATAGTGATGATAGGAGACCTACTAGCCACTCTTTGGAAAGTATCTGTTTAGGCACAGAGAAAAAGTACATGATTACTAGACTATTTAACTTGGAAGTTGAGAACCAGGGTTGGATACCTATTATCAATAAATAGGTGAAATTGTTAACACCAACTAGGGTAGAGTCGAATTGGAGAAAAATAAGTAATTATATATCAGGCTATCTGAATTAAAAGTTTAGATAAAGGGAGCTAGATTACTAAAATACTAGAGATATACTGTAAAGTAAGTTCTGAAGTTTGAGTTAACTCAACAAGGGTAGAAGTAGGTTTGAGTTAAATTTAGATACATTAAGTTGGAGGAAAAACTATAGGCAAAAATCTCAACCTAGCATCACATATATTTCCAGAATAGGTAAAACTGAGCTGCAAGTGGTAGGCTATAATCTATATGTACCAAACTAAAGTACAGACTAAATGTGATATAAAGTAGAAATACTGCAGGCTCTGTCAGATTTACTTTGAGAATAAAGTAGTTCTAAATCAGTTATACAAAATGAGTACTTGTAAGACTAGTTCTTAAAACTAGAAAAGGATGCTGATTGATATAGACCTTGAAGTACATAGATGCAGAGGGTTTAAATAAGTAATCCTCTAGTTGGGTTGCAGGTATAGCAAATAGTATAGAATCTAGTAATAGACAGACTATTTAAATAGATACTCAAAAGGCACAGGTATAACTAAACGTACTCTTCAAATATATATAATGATATCCTAACATAATAAAAGCATAATGCAACCAAGAGGTTACTTTAAAACCAAAAAAAAAAAAATTTATTGGACAAAATTTTATTATTTGTTATTATATTATAATTATCTAAAAAATAATATACAGGGTGTGGTGACATAGAGTAGTTGTTAAGTTGTCATTTTCCAAGCGGTAGGTCTAGAGTTCGATTTCTACCGGAGATATTTTTCAAAAAAATAGACCTGTGTTCTAGTAACATTTATTCAACGATCGGTTGGGTATATCACCTGTAATCTTGATATTACCATCTCGAAATGGAAGCTTTAGAGCAATCTAAATCCAAGAAACTGGAATATTTGAAATCTATTTGGCAAGACTCGAGCTAGAAGTAGTGAAAATCTTCAATGATACTACAGAAAATTGAAACCGAAGACTGAAAAACCAGACGAACAACCCTGGGGCAAGAAGGGTCCACCAACCTGGCCGCCGGAGTCGTACTGGAAAAAAGGTCCGATGCTACAGAATTCGGAACCAAAGGAAGTAAAACCAGAAAGCACTTAGAGCCTAGGTACAACAACCCTTCCAGACTAACTAGTTTGGTAGTTAGAGAGAGATCAGTATAAGAACTAGTTGAAAGTGAGTATTAGGATCAGAATGAACCTTGTAAGGGCAAGAAGTAGGTAATAGTAGCGACCACAAAAGCTGCAAGTACCAGTCCTCAGATTGGGCATAAGTTACCGAAAAACCCAGGTGATACATATGTAACACATGGACCACTCTGGTAGGTTTACCACGAGGATAAAGTAGTCCTAAGGGGCCTTAGTGGCAGGAATTCTTCTGGGAAAAGCATCTGACAATGCTAAGTCGATTAGAAGGTTTAAATAGAGGATCCACAAGCAGATCTTAGGTATGACAATTGGTGGGTAACTATAGATAGTATAGTGGAGCCTTTAAATAGATAATGACTAAAGTTGTACGTGTAGCCAATTGTACTCTCATTGATGTAACAAAGTCAAGGGGTACCTATTCGGTATCCTAATAATTGACTTGTGAAGTTAATAAACTGTGCCAAACTTCAAAGTGGTCACCTTAATATTAAAAAAAAAAAAAAAAATAATAATAATAATATACAAAAACTATACTATAATCATATGTGTTTGCTGGATAATTTGTTAAGTTCTAATGGTTATTATTACATAATATTCATATATTAGTCATTTTGTACACTTGAGGTGATACAAGAACATGATTTCTTAAGGGCCCCAAAAAGGCAAGTGAAGAAATAAAAGAATAAAGAGACTATATGCTAAAAAGAATAATATTTTTTAAAGACTTTTAAACCCAACGATTTAGTTTTCTTATGATGCTATATACCTTTAAATTATGATTTTTCTAGAAAATACAACTAGACAAATTTGCTTGCAAAATGATATAAGAGATAAAAAAAATTTTTTAATAATCTAATTTGGCTATTAAATGATTTAAAAGATACTTTAAAAATAAATGTTTTTTTAAAATTAAAAAATATAAAAATAAATATAACACCAGAGGATATTGATATCCACCCTAATTTTATTATGAAAAATAGTTTTTTGCTAAAATTTAGAGTTAGAATGCAGTTTAATACCAAAATAGGGGTTAGATATAATAGTTCAAATTTTAAATATACAAAGTTTTGGAGGGTTTTGAACATTTTTACTTAGTATGTCTAATCTTGTTTCTTAGTCAGTTTTTTGAAATATAATAGTTTTTATTAAAATTTAAGGTTAGGGTGCAGTTTTATGCCAAAATAAAGGACAGATATAATAGTCCAAATTTAGGTAACACAAGGTTTTGGGGTGCTATGAACATTTTTACTTAGTACACCAGACCCTGTTTCTTAGTCTATTTTTTGAGATATAGCACCCTGGATATCAATATCCCCAGGCAACAATTAAATATTTTCTTAAAAAATTGTTATATATTTATCGCTATAGAGATTCCAAAAATCAAAATCCCGAATCTTAAATGTCGCGCCGCGTGATGTCGGGGTTAGCCCCGCCTATGATTAGTAATATAGATTACCTATAGATTACTAATCACAAGCGGTGTTTGAATATTGAAACCCCGACATCACCGGAGCGACAATAAGGGGAACGTTAAAGCCAGGTGCGTTAGAATTACTTTTTGATGCAGTTAGGGTTACGTTTTTAATGCAGTAATGGTTATTGGTTTATGTAAATATCAAGAAGATAATTTATACAGCATGTAGATCATTTCCAAGTTTATACCAAACTCACCTGGCTTTAACAGGCCCCGACAATAAGTCTCAGGAGGGCAGCTCTGGCGATAAAAAATAAAATCCTTATTATATTATATATTAAATTAAATACCGTATTGTCGCGAAATAACGGGCATGGGCGTTATTTAGGATAATAGCCCGAATTAATTTAGCTCGAAATTCGTAATTTCACCCCTACGCGTTATTTCGCAATACTACGGTAAATAGAAGGATTTTAAATATCTTTTTTTTTGGGTTCATTTATTCTATTCACAGAATTGTTTATTCACTCTAATAAATAAGTATGCCAACTCTGCCGAAAAAGCATATATCGATATACGAAATCTTATTATGCTATAGTGTTAGGTTTCGATTTGTGATTTTATGTATAGCTCGCTTAGCCACTAAGTCGACAAACTCAAATTGGTTAATATTATCACAGGACCTCTAATCGATGATCGATCATCCCCGATCTTTTTTTTTAAATGTTTAAATTTTACAGTTTGATTAAATTATTTATGGGGTATTCAATAATCATCTCTGCTTAAACTTTAAGAATATATTGTATATTTTTTAACAAAAATTAATGTAATATATAATATCAATTACATCTGAAAGCTACTACTGTATACAAGGGAGTGATTGTTGGGAAATTTAAAGATGCGTACAATATTAAATAATATCATTATTTTTCATTTCAACATCATCAATGCCTATTCCTATATCCTTATCCTCTTGTTGACTTAATTCTGTCGCTTTTGTTCCACTAAACCACAAAACTGTAGTATTCCATTTGGGGAATACTCGTTTATAAAGATTCATCATTACTGTATCCTGTTGTTTTATGGGTGAATCAAACACACATTTCATATACCCGTGTGTACCTAATGATTCTTTAATATGGCCAGCACGACCATATTTTGTGGTTAATTGAACTGGTTTAAACCATAATACGTCCTCTATTCATGCATGTGTTATATAGCAAAATATAAAAAGGTGAATTAAGAAAATTAAATAAATTTGAAATAAACGCTGAAAACATATTAACATACCAGGATTAAAAAACATATATCTCACAACTGCAGATTTTTTGTTTATTTTAAATGGATAACCGGTTAGAATAATACGCTTTGCGACTATTCGTTTCGGGTCAGCGTTTAAGAAAAAGCCACTAGCCACAAATATTGGTGCTATTGCATAATTGATATAAATAATTAATTAAACATTATTAAGAGCATATACGAGAATTATTATAAGACCAACCATTAACGTCACCAGTATCCTTGTAAAAAGTGACAGGCAAGTTCCCAAAATTGATCGGACCATAAATGGTAGCGATGTAAGATCTTCCAGGATTAATGAATTTCTCATATTTATGAACATTATTAGTACCTTTCCCTCCTAGTGTATTTTGCGAGTATAATGGCCTCACCACATATCGACGGAATCCACAATGCATGATAAGCGGATCCTTTGAAAAAAGTACTTAATTAGCTTACCAAAATGAGCAGTACAACATAAAGATGGTAATACCTTTGATTTAATTGGTTCTTCGTATTCGCTATTTCTTGTTATAAAAAAATTCAAAACAGAGATTTTATGTTCATACTCAAGGAGGCCAAAAACTATAAACGGTCGAGATGGACTATAGGATTCTATAATGGACACGATCATTACAAATTATTAAAAGAAAAATTGGCTAAATTTCTAATTTTGCTTTTTACCTGCTACTTGTTTGGGAACATTAGCTATATGTAGAGTAATATACGTTCCAACCTAAATATCACGTTACATCAGAAATGTGCATATGAACAAATTTTACTATACAAATTAATGTTTCTACCAACTTTTACACCGCCTACATGGGAAGATGCCTGACTGATAACTCTACTTTTTGTTCTTTTATAATTTTCGAATTGAAAGATCCGACCATAATCAATCGGCAAATTTTCGTTTGGATCCCATGGTGAAGTACGAAAACTTTTTAAACCTCGATATTTTTGAAACCGGATTCGAGCGGCCTTATCCAACGGTGTGTCCACTTCATCCGGAAATTCGAGGTCATCTCGATGTTCTTTTTCTCGACTGGCCAAATATTCCTTTAACCTTTTTTTAAAAAATACATTAACATTTTTACTAATTTGTGGCATAAAAACAATTGACAGCTAAATTAATTAATATATACGTACTGCCTATCTTCTTCCTCAGGATCCAAGTGATCATTTAACTCACTTTGTTTGCTCTCAACTTCAATGTCTTCGTATTCCTCATCATATTCAGCTTCATAGTTAGACAAACGTGAATTGTCGCCTTCATCATACATATTAACATCACCATCTTCATCACTATAGCCATCACCATCATCATCATCTGAATCCACAATCCATGCAGCCTGATATGAAGATGTTCCTTTAGGAACTCGTTTTATAATCTTCCTCGGAGTTGTGCCGGGAAGTGCACTTGGTATATCTTCAGATTTCATTAGTTCAATATGACCTTATATATCAAAGTTTATGATCAAAAGTTTTTATTGGTTTGTTATTACTCAGACGATCCAATATCGTGCAATGCAGAAATATGTAATAAAAATATATTGAGCAGTCGGAAACTTCATTCTCGCTTGCACGCATATGAGTCAGAGATAATGATTGGGGCATTAATATAATAATCGTATCTTTTCATTTGCATACCTTCATTACCGATAATTTCTTCTTCAGTTGGCCATGTTTGCTCATTTGCCATAAAGTTTGGTTCATTTTCCGTAACTAGGGATTCCTGGTATGCATGACATGTTAAAAAATAATATACCAAAACACCACGCAACGTGTAAATTCTTTCTCAAGTCGAGTAACTTGCCTGTTTTTCCGGATTTGAAATATCCAACACTTTAATATCTTCCACCTATTAATAAATACTAATTAGATAAAGTCATATGTTACATAAAATATATGAATTTATTGTAGACTTTTTTTATTTATTGATTTTTTACCATATCTCCATCCTTGGATTGCCTTGGGCAGGATGTAATCTAAACCATAAAAAATTAATCAAATCAATCATTTATACATACTAAAATGTGTTGTGTTTATAATGAAGTCAAAATTTCAAATTTAAATCACAAACTTGATTTAATTGAAAATCACCAAAGTTCTGCAAATGTATTAAGCGATTTGCGGAAAACGCTGTTCCTCTAGCATATCCTGTAACTCTAAGGGTTCCTTTATCCTATTATTAGTGGAAAAATTAAATACGAATGTATATAACATTTTAAACTAAAAACGGTGAATAAAATATGTTACTTGATCATGATCATTGTCAAAAGATATCTCTTCTACAAGCATATATGGACGCGTCTCTCTCCATGAGACTTGTTTAGGAAGTTGAGTACATATTGTTCTAAGTATGTTTAGAGTTTCCTGTTTATAGATAATTGAAAATTATATAATGTTAAATGTGCAAATTTAAATAGCATTACAAGTTATCCCTTTTAATAATCTAATACCTGTGGCTGATCCGCAACATGAATTTTCTCTTCATCAGGAAAAAAATAATTAATGAAGCTTAAAAGCGATTTTTTAACGTCATTGCGTTTCTTTTGTGGAATATCTTCTAAATACTTTTTACAAAATAAGTTAAAATAGTTTACACGAATAAACCTGGAAACTTTTGTAAAATAAAGTAAGCCTAACATACCAAAGCTGATGATATTATTGATGGAAAACCTTGGGATTGAATGGCTTTAAGACATAATTCTCCAAATTGATCAGCCTCGACTTTTGCTGAAAGTACCAATAACATAAAATCTGCCACCTTGCATGCATCAAGAATATCAACTAAATTACGTTCTAAAAGCAGAAATTGTATTTTTTGCTTGAAACGTTCGGCGCTATCAATTTAAATATAGGATTAATTAATGATTACACAAGTCTTAAAAAAGAACCTCTTCTTACTTCAAGAAAGCGATGCTTCCACTAATTGATGAAGCTGATTGTTCGACACTTGCATATATGTTTTTTACAACATTAAGTGAATTTACATCGGAACATAAAGGAATAACAGCCTAAATGACAACAAATATACAGCTTGATTATTATAGTTTATATAAGAAATTAAACACGAATAAGTGTCTAACGGCAAATTAAACTAAATTTATACCACAATTTTTGGAGTACTATTCCGTCCTTCAAAAAATCTATTGGCTTTTATCAAT